CTGTCTAAACATTCACTGGATTGCTCTCTGAGTCACTGAAAAAAATTGTCAAAGCCCACAAAACTCACTACCTTTTTTGTTTGCTCCGATTGATGTATTGTTATGACAGATGTTAAGTTTGCATTTCTCATGAATTTTAAAATAAAATGACAGGCTGAAAATCAATGTCACATTCCAACATTGTCACTTAAGGAAGGATACAATACTAAATAACTGAGTATGTTAATAGAATGGATGTGGTGTATCAGACCCTGCTTGAGGAATGCAATTTCAAGTGCTGTTTTTGTCTTCTGCAGTGGAGAAATTATGTAGAAAATTCTGCCACATTATCAAAATTCCTCAGGTTTCTATTTAATTTCAGTTAGTGTCCTCTTTAAAAAAAATCCCACATTTTTCACCATGAATATTTTACTTCATGATGGATGAGCATTATTCCTAATTCTAAATCTGCTGGTTCTGTTTCTTTCATTCTATTTTAGAATTCTATTTTATTTTAAATTTTTATATCTTGCTTTTTACAGAATTTTCCCTCTCATTCTATAGCCAGTCCCTAAAGTTCTTTCAGTTTGGTTATCTCCTGCTTTCACCTCCCTCTGCTTTTGAAAATGTAGCTAAACAATAGCAAAGAGGTAGAATAATAAGGACCCAAGAAGGGCATGAGAAGCAGTGGATAAAATGGTGTTTGCTTAAAAAGACTCTTGTGCCTGAAATGCCTGAGCTAAGATTTTGAGCATCGATGTGTCCTTCCCTATAGGAAAAAATGGCCTGAGCAGTGCTATTACAGACCCTAATATAGAAATGAAGAGTACTTTCACCTTACCCTCTGCACCCACCATAAATACATGCTCAGTTCCCCAATTTGTGTTTTATATGGATGTGGACCACTTCTCTGAGGAATTCCACTCATCCTATATAAATGGCTTTAGCTTTCCTCAACATTTCATGGATGTTTGGTTTTGTGTTCCACTTTAGATAAAACTGCTGCAACTCGAGCACATGGGGCATGGAGGAAATGCATGTTCTCCACATGAGCCTTGGCTGCATCTATTGAGCGGATTTTTGCAGATGGTGAAGAAAATGTATTCATTAGGAATACTCTCACATTAAGAAAGTCCCTGAATTGTCTCACTGGGATATTTTTTAATATGAGGAAATGAACATTGCTAAAAATAAATGGCTTCCATTTTATGCATAAGTTTAATTTTGAGACATATTCATACAGAACCCTGCATGTTTATTGCAGAAAAAACGTGCAGTCCTGTGCCTACTTGGGAGCAGTTTTCATTAAATTAAGTGGGATTTAGTTCTCAGTAAACTACCTAGGATTGTGCTGAAAGTTTTGCAGCTCCCTTAAGAATAATAAGCTTTTGTGGACCATGAAGTTGGCTCTCTAGCCCATGAAAATTTATGCCATAATAAATCTGTTAGTTTTTATGGGAGCAAAAGACTCTTCAATATTTTAATTTTGAAAAAATGGAGCTAAAAGGGAAACTCTGTTTTTCCCTGTGTGTATATTAAGAAATGTATATCCTAGCCTTCTTGGTTTATGTGCAGTGTGTGTTTTTTGGAGGTGTGGGGGAGGTTATGAACTGGGTAATTCAGTAAATCACAGCAACATATTAGGCAGAGGAAATGGTTGCTGATCCTTTTACACATCTCTTGTCAACAGTAATGCAGGCAAGGTGGAGCAATAGATCTGCCTTGGGTGCAGCCTAGACAGAAATGCAAAATGGGTGTCAAAGAGAATGCAAGATTTGGAGATAATGGACAGTATTCTATACTGTCAAAGCACTAGCACAAATAATAGTGCTAGCACAACATCATTAATGCTTGCTTTGTTAAAGGAAAAGTCATTGATTTGCCACCAAAATTCAAGCAGCATGGACTGCAAATCAGGACTTTCCCCCTTTGCTTAGCCAGTGCTAATGATGTTGCGTTAGTATTGATTTGTACTAGTATTGTGATAGCATTAGATGCAGCATTGATTTTAAAATCATGCAGAATTACATGAAACTCTATTGTATAAATATATTTTCAAGATAGTTCATGAAACATTTGCATTGCCAGAGGCTTATGGAGGAAAGCAAATGTGGTTGCCCTACGGCTTCACATTCCCACAGTAAAGTACATGCAGTAATGGAATGCTGCTGGTAAAAGGAAGCAGAAAATCACAAAGCTATGACAATGGGTAGAAGAAAAATCTGCTTCTCAGGAACAGTTGGCAGTCAAAATTTGGACACTCAGTCAGAATACACTTATGGGTTCTTATGTCCTGTGGGTGCTAGTTGCTGCTGTCTATAGATATACTTAGCTCTTTTTCCAACAGAAAGAGAGAGAGAGAGAGAGAGAGAGAGAGAGAGAGAGAGAGAGAGAGACAGAGAGAGAGAGACAGAGAGAGGAACTCTTCACTAAGGCAAGCTGATTCAGGAAAGGGAAAGGGAAATTGTTTGGAAGATCACAAGTATATGGAGATGGATGGGGATGGAGGTTTGTGGGCTAGAGGCCTATTTAAGGAAAGGAGAGAGGGAAGAGTTGAGGCCTTCACTAGTTGAGGCCTTTTCTAGCTGGAATTAATTTATGTACAAGAAGAATCATGGTGCCCCAGCATGAGACACCACTATTCAGCCAACTGATAGCATGTAGTGAATTTTGAAAATCTTGATCCTTGATTTCTCTAAGACCAAAAACATTTTTAAAGTCATTTTCCTTTTCCACTGTAGGTCCCTTAAAGTTTAGATAGCTACAATTATGTACATGAAAGCATATAGTATATAAAGAATGCTACTGTGAAAACAACGCCCGTGACGTTGATATTGTTAAGAGATAAGGGAAGTGCAACAGTATCTAGAACTGACTGATTCAACCAAAGAATAATCTATGGAGAATTAAGTAGCTTATTTTAAACCATGATACTGTCTGGTATGCATGGTCTTAAGTCATCAAAAAGGCATATGCAAGATGGGCTAGATTGTACCTTACAAATATCACTCCATTCGCCTGGTCCATTCTCATTGACAGCTCGAACTTTAAAGAGATATTCTGTATTAGGTGACAGATTATGTATTTCCAGATTCTGTTGTACAATCCCCGTAAGTACTCCCACAAGCTGTGGCTCGATTAAATGCTCAGGCACACCTTCATCAATTACTTCGTAGTATGCAACTTGGAAGCTCTCTACTTCTTCTGTAGGACATGTCCAGTAAATCTAAGGAGCACATAGATACATATGGCACTGAAGATATTTTCATATTGTATTAAATGCACTGACAGCATTAGTATCACAAGGCTGTGACTTTGAGCAATAAATATCCGAGGACTTTAAAAAAAGCTTTTTATGTTGGACACTCGTGCAATACAGGTATTTTAGAATGTTTCATAGTGTTTTGATAATTGCCACATCAATGTTCACTCTTGGAATTTATTGTCGTTGTTTCAGTTCTATACTGTTCCATAGCCAAAATGTTAAATCTTGGACACAGACTATATTGTGCAGTATGTAGCCCAAGGATTCTCTGTGTGTTTAGACTATTGAATGAGTATGTATGGCCCTGATTCAGATTGGAGCTATGAGAGAAATAAACATGCCCTATTCTTCATTGTTGGCCTCTTGAAATCTGTACAGGGTTTTTTTTTCTTTTTTATTTAAAAGTACAAACAAAAAATTGGGATAAATCATAAAAGATGTTATTTAATTGTACAAGGAGTTTGAAAATAGATACATTTTAATTGGAATCAACTGAAGTTTTTTCTCTCTTTCTGCTGGAAGAAGGGTGAATTTTGGTCCTGATCCAAACTAGATCTGAACGCACTTTCTCAAAAGCCAAACTAGAGGGGGTGGGAGGGAGGAGGAAAAAACATACATTACATGCCGTGCATTTAATGTTTGATCCTTACAGAAGATAATAGGGAAAACCACTTTGCATTTTTTCCTTTCGGCAGTATGCAGGATTCAAAACTATATATATTCTTCCTTTTGTTAATCTATCTTTGAGGTGGGTGGAACACCTAGGAATAGCTGTTGGTAGGCAGAGCAAGAAGTGTTGCAATGGGAGATAGTGTATAGGGAAAGCGAGATATGGTAGGGAGACATTAGTCATTCGATGATAATACATGGACTATTAACCAATAGTTGCTTATGCTACTGACATTTCTCACAACATGATGAGAGTTTTGTAAAAAACCTCTGATATAGATTTCCTATCCAGCATTTCAGAATTTATATGCACATTTCTGGAGCTCCTACTGTAGATAGATAGATGAAAGATGGTTAGAGGGAGGGAGGGATGACAAACAGATCTCCAAGAAAGAAAGGGAAGAAAAGATACACCAATGTCAGTTTTTTAAAGTCAAGACTTTTCAATAACAGCATGCTTGTCTATCCTTCTCCAAACATTCAAAATTCAAGACACATTGTATAAAAATTATTACCTTAGCCACAGTTGGATAAACAAGTGTTTGGTAAATAACAATAAGTCCAGGAACTGAAGAAGAAGTTTCTCCAAGTAATTCTGGATTGTAATAAATACCACGAGTTTCATAGTTCTTCCCATTTCGTTCAGTATCTGATGATGTTGCATGCCAAATTGCATAAATGCCATTATCTCTCACATTAGCTCCAGGTAATGATCTGGGTCTTATACGCAAGTCATTGTTTATCATACTTTGATCAGTCAATGAATTAAATGATGATAATGACTGACTCTGGGTCATTGGTAGTGAGCTTGGGACGTGCGCACTGGAAACAATCCTTGGGATCATAACATCAGAACTACAAGGGTAAGGACATTTGTTTAGTTTTTCATAATATAGTTTAGTTGAAAATGATGGGAATATATTGAGTAAGTTGACTGCAAGTTCCTCAAAGTTGACTTTAAGATACTTAATAGGGTCTTCCCTGAGATGTGGGCTAGGTTGGTAAATACTAGCAATCGAAGCCTCTATTTCAGTTATGAGAGAATTTGCTGATTGAAGGAAAGAAATTTGGCTGTTTTCCTTTAAAGCTTCCTTCGAATACTGCATAAGGCTGTCCATCTCATGAATTTTCTTTGTTGTGTATTCTGCAAACTCATACAGTGCCTGCTGTTTTTGAATCTCCAGGTTTTCCACTGCTTCCATTAACTCTTTCTCCCGATCCTGGAGTATGTTCCGTAACCTGATGAAACCATTCCGTATCTCCCTCCTTTTTGTTTCCTTGTAGGACTTAAAATTGTTTTTTAATACCAGAATCTCCATCAGATCATTATCAATTATAAATCGGACTGCAACACAGAAATAAGGATAATCATTGTATCACTGTTATTTTGAAACATGCCATATTTTTAAAATATATCTACAATATACAGAAAAGATTCAAAACAATTTTCAGTGCATTTCTGGACCTTTCAAATTCTCTGCTATGAGATTGGAAAATCACTCTAGCATTGTAGCTGGGGATTTAGACAAGGATCCACCCTCCTGACCCACCACAGGTGACCTAGAAAGACCGTTGTTGGCTTTGTCTCCAAAGTCATGAGACAGGCTTTTAGGGATGGTGAGAGGGGAGAGGAGGAGGAAAAACACCACCAAAATACAATATATCCTGCTGGTGCCTCAGCCTCCTTCTCTGCTGCTCCAAAGTGACACACTTAGAGGGTCCAACTCAGCCATCTAAGTAATTTTCAGGGGAGAAGGAGTACAGATGTAAACCTTGAATGATGCCTATCATCCTCCAGGCATGGAGGGTTATGGACACCGTGACTGGATTGTATCCTGGACATTCAACACAGGCTTGCCACATTTAGAGCAGCAGAGAACCTGTACTCCAAGGTAGCAAACCCCACTTGAAGAAGTGGCTTCACTGCTGGTAGAGTTCAAGGGAAAAAAATTGACTTGCATCAATTTCCAAGTATTGGTACTGAGAAAATAAAACTTGTTTATCTGAGCAAGACATAGAACCAAACACAACATGGTGTTGCTGGTGATCATATTTAAAAATGGTGTTTTCAAAGATTTTATAGAGTGCATGGAAGGGAGGGTCTTAACTGTTCCTTTGATCTTTTATCCCTATGCAAATTCCTCTCCTGACGCTAGACCTGAGCCAAAATTTCTCAGAACAGTTTTTCTTAAGAGACAGAGAGGAGTGGGGTGGGGGACAACCATATTACAAGATTTATTTATTTCTCTGACTATTCACCACCATTGAGTTTTGAGTGAGTCACTATTTTCTACACACACCAGTCCAGGGTTTATGGAGCACAATGCACAGTTTACATTACATTCTTCTTTTCAAGGCATTCTCTGTCGGAAGAGCTGTCTGCTCAGACAACAGCCTGAACAGGTAGGGACATGGATCCCAGTATTCCACACCATGTACTGGATTTCTGTTTAAATTATACTCCCTGGCTTTGCATCTATACATATTAATTAGCATTTGCAAATTTTGTGCAACTCGCAGTCCCCTTTCCCCTTTTTTTTAGTGATAAACTTCCTCCTTTTGTGGCAGTTCATGAGAAGCCACTCTACTTCCACCACTAATGGTGAAAGTTTCCTGTCTCTGGGAAACTTTTGAGGATTTTTTTCACCATGGAGGATTGTGTTGAAATTATCCATCACCCCAATTTCTTTGCCCACAAATAAAATGGAGACTTTCCAGAGGGAATTTGTTGACAGTTTTACCTTTAGCTTCATGTTTCAAGACAACATGCCCTGTACATTGAACCACCATTAGCTTTGGGGAAGCTAAACCAAGGAAAAGGCAAGAGGATGAAAGATTAATTCTCTACTAGCAGTATTGCCCCAAATTTACTCCTGTGATTGCATTTACAACTTCAGAAAGTCATGCGATATATAGTGGTCCTGATATTATATCTACCACTCACTTGGTAGCTTGCAGATAAAAGGTCAACACACATACAAGCTAATGCTTACTTGTTTAAAGTTCCATTGCAGTCCAAGGAGCTTGGGATTTAGCACATTTAAATGCAGAGCTGCATAAGTTTTGGCTGCTTTTGGTAGCTAAACCAAAAAGGTGCAGTCAGCAAGTTACTATCCCTGCCCAATCTGGTAGCAAAGAAAGGAGGTGTAGAATAGACTCCGGCTGCTTCATTCATGGTTTCAAGGAAGTGAGAAAGAAGAAGATAAGTACCCAACCCAAGACTGGGGTGTACTTTTTTTCCTTCAGCAAAACTATTTTATTTCCTTTGTTCACATAGCTGCTTTCTTATTGGCTAGACTCAAAGCTGCAAACAAGATTGCTTGTTATTTTCTGTAATGGTTTGTTTATAGCATTGCTAGGATAGGGGTAGCAACTCAGAGGAGGGCGAATCTATGAGTAATGGAAAGATGATGACACTTATAAGATCTGATTTGCACAGAATGACAGCCCATCAGTTTAGAATCTAATGGGTTGTCATGCATGAACTTTTATTCCACAACGCATAATCTTCTGCTTTTACTTCAGAAATCACAACTGGCTTTTTCATATTGGGTGGAGTGTGACACATCAACCTGGATTGCTGGATTGGTTTAGGGGCTAAACAACCTTGAGGTTAATCCTCGATTAGTTGTTCACATATCATTCCTCATAACCTATGAAGGAGCTGATTGGGGGTTGTGGAGTAAAAGTGGAAGAAGAGGGCATGCTGTAGACAGCATACCTTCTTATATCGGAACTCCCCCTTCTTTAAAACCAGTAATTACTGTTACTTGCTAAAGGGGTCTAAGGGCTTGAAATGAAGTGTTATTGGACCAGACTTGAGTAGCTTCTTCCTCTGTGCTTAGACTCCACAAACTGGTTGCCATTTCCACTGAGAGACTACTTAGCCTTGGAGAAAGTGCTCCAAGACAAAGTAGGGTTAGTCTCTAATAACCGATCAAACAGAAAGAAAATAATTAAAATATAAACAGGAACCTTTTTTAAACTTTGCAATTGCAGTGAATAATGCAGCAGACATCTTTGAACATGCTATTGGCAAAGACACCGTGTCATGATCAGTATGTTGTGCATCAGCACAATATTCACAAATTAGTTCATGGTCATCAAGGCAGTATTTGGAGATCAGTGAATCAGAATGTATCATGCAGTTTCTTTCTTCCCAAATTTCCTCATCAATTTTGGCATAGACATGATTTTGAAAGGAGATATCCTGATGGCAATTCCTCAAGCAAATGTTACAGTAATTCAATTGACATGTCACACATCTCTTGGTGGCCCTGCGTCGTTCATCACAAACTTGGCAATAGACTGGTTCATGGCTTCTGTCAAATCTCCACCTCAGGAAACCATATCGGCGCATATATGCCCTAGCCAATTTGGCTCTTAGGTAATTAATCCTCAGTTGTATTTTCTTAGTGAATGGCAGGCAGTGCGCTTTTTTGCAAATTGGGCATGTGATGATGAAGAAATTCTCTGTAATCTCAGACTGAAGTTGGCTTCGCAGTATACAGCCATCACAAATACAATGATTGCATGGCAACATGAATGGGCGGAGAAACAACCGTTGGCACAGCGGACAAACAAGCTGGTCAATAAAGGCATGTCCTGATGCTTCCTTATCCAGAGAAATAACAGATGGATCACCAGTAATGCTGCTCCTGGGTATTTAAAAGAAAAAAGCATGAAAAGATTTCAAGTTATAGCTTGCAATGCCACCAATGTTTGTAATTACCCGATTCATAATATGAGTCTATTTCATTTAAAGTACTTGGCTACACTATGAAACAAGTAGCATCTGTCCCCAAATTCCTTTGCCTTCTGACTTAGAGTTCCTGTGTTTTCTTTTCTCCCTAGTCTCGCTACTTCTTTCCCCAGTTAGCTCAACTTATATGGGAAATAGTGATGGCAGTAATAGAAGATTGGCCTTCCTAGAGACTGCTGTGCAAGATTCCTCGTGTGACAAAGGAAAGCTGCTAAGGCAATGTTCCTGGTACCAGTGACTCTGGAAAATGTAGTTTTTGTAGGATCCCTGCAATTATATTGGTGGCATATTGAACAGTGTTGCTTTACCTTTAAGGGACCACTTCCTGATCATTCAGTTGAGTGTATGTGAGCTGTGAGAAGGTATATGGAGGCATAAAAGTTTTTCAATTTATAAAGAAGTGAATGATTTTAAATCTTGTGTTCAGATACAAGAGCGTGGTACTAAAGAACATAAGAACCCTGATTTCAGCTCCCAACTGTGAGCATTGACAGAGAAGGCTGACTTTGCCGGAAGGGTGGGGATGCACACGATTGGTGTGTCTATACATTGCATTGGTGTAGTATACAGCATATGGTTATATAAGCCAGTGTCACAGGGCTTAATATAAGCCACAGGGTAGGCATAGCTGAGCTCCTGCCAAGGGCTGACACCCCAGCAGGATCCCACGAGCAAGACCTTCCTAACCTTGGTCCCTTCTTCATCTGCTTGCTCAGCTGCTCATTGTGGGAAAAGTGATGGTGAAAAAGAGAAACAGTAGAGGTCTCTGCTTTTTTCTTGATAGCCTTCTGCATGTCAAGCAATGATAAAGAAAAAGAGCAACAGGGACTGATGGCAATGGCATGGAAAAGGCAGGCTCACTGAAAGAGGGGTGCCTGTTGAGGGTGTCCTGGCCAATGCCCCTCAAAAACCTGCAGCTAACATTGTAGGCCCACCTCAGGTTCCAAACATTGGCCATGTGGGCAATTTCCACTCTGGGCAGGATTTTATGTGGGCAATGCTGGTTGTATAGATTGGCCACCATGGTGGTGGTGGGAAGGGTTGTTCATTTATTTTTGCCTGTACTAGCCACCAAGGAGATAATTAGCTGGAGAAGAAGTACAGGTTGATAAGTTATAGAAGCATCATTAGGTTTCTGGAGGCCTATCTTCTGGGGAACTGGGACTTGGGGCATGGAAAGGACACCTCCTTTGAGGGCTTGAGGAGGTCAAGCATCCATAGTCTTGGGAGTCAGGATATTTCTAAACACATTAAGAGAGGCCAGACAGTGGAAATGCTGCTTGGCTGTCTCCATCCTGGTGCCCATTAAGGCTTGCACTTTGGAGCTTAGCAACTGCACAGCTTTTAGCACTGTAGATCTTGTTGGCTATTAATTCAATAAATGTATGGCCCTAGCTTTACCGAACCTTTTGTGTGTGTGTGTGTGTGTCTCCATTTCTGTACATGGACACACAGGGATATATTTGCTGCTTTTGCTGATAAGGTAACTTCTGCTTTGCTGAACAGTTTAATTTACTCATAAGAGTCTGGGCTAGCATAAATAAATTGTTGAAATATTGAAGATTCACTGCACATCTACTGATAATTTCCTGTTGAAACAATATGAATCCCATTTGAAAATGAAAGGAGAAAATGTTTCAAAATCTTTCACAGGTTTGAAGACTTGGCTATCAGCTATGTGCCATTTTAGTGGGGTGGGGGTTGGAGGACATCCAGAGAGAGCCATTTATTGTAGGAAAGAGGAGTTAAAAGATTGACTGATACATCTGGTTCAGAAGAAGCACCTGCAGCTGGAAGAGGCAGTAGTGGTTACTCTAATGACTGAAACTGCTACAGTTCTCACCAACATATATACCTAAGAAAAGCAGCATAACTCTGCTGAGATATGCAGTATGCTCTTAGGTAAGGTGGAACTGTAAAACACTAGATCCACTAAATTTCTAAAACATATTGCTGGAAAGAACAAGAAAATACAAAGGAATAATGAAGTGTTATATGCAGCAGTTCTGGTAAATGAAGTTGTATATTTAAGGAAAGTGCTGGTTTTTGGTCCACTGAATGATGAGATGTAAGGCCTGACTTCTGTTGCTCCTGACATACTGCTTACAAAGCTGGTGAATTTCTGAGGGAAAGGACTTTTTAAAAGGTGGAAAATCATAGAAGTACCCCTTCAACCTTAACATTGTAGGCATCTTTATCTCCCTCTGAGAGTGTTTTTGGACTCACCTTCAATTGGTCTACTCTGTCCCTTCAGTTCCACTTTGTAGGAGTTTGACTAAAGCAACCCTCCCTCAGATTCACCCACTAGATCCCATCAAGTTCCTATGAGTTCTTTACTGGAACATGATTTTTCAGACCAATTGAATTTAAACTTAGCTTAGAAAAACTATTGGCTGAGTCATGCATGCCTTCAGACAGATTTCATCACTAATAATGATAAGCTGTTCAATGCAGATGCAATGTGAAGAATAGTGGAAATGTACAAGAATGTATTTATCAACTATCCCAGTGTAGTTGACACATCCTCTGACATGCCAACATTAGCTAAAAGAAAATGCAGTGGGAATAGAAACCCCACTTCTACTTTACCAAAACTGAACACACTGAATATACAGAATGTGATCTTTATATATTTTGTGTCATGATGCTAAAAACCACAATTACTATGAATAACTACAATATAATTAGTAATAGCTACAAATTATAGCAACTATAATTTCTCAACAAGAAAAGCAAAGGCTTACTTTTTAACATGCAAATAAGAATTCCTCCATATGCTTCCCTTCCCAAAGCAGAAATTATGAATGTTTTTGCCATTGACTTGAACTCCTTTCCTTCCATAACCAGTCATCCTCAGGCACTGCATCACTGCAGAGAGCAGGCAGAAAATCCAGGAGTTCTCTGCCTGATCCCTAAAGTGGTCTGGATATGGTTCCAAGGAACCAATCAAGTTTCAGCTATTAGAATATAAAGTGAGCATCCATTCATTTATTTGTCCTGCCTTTTTCCCCTACAAGGAACCAACATGGCTCCTTCCCCTTTCTATTTTATTTTCATAACACCCTTGCTCAATCACCCAGTGAATTAAGCTGAGTGGGGACTAAAAACTGGTTCTCCAAGCCCTACCCCCATGCTGGTGCTCCACAAAGTTGCCTGGGCCTTTTTGTTTAATTCTGTATTTGCTTCCAGGGAATTAACCTTGTTTTCCTTTGTGTTAGGGATGGAGAGGGCAGGAAGAGCACCAGTGATCAGATTTGCATGTGAGATGAACCTAGGACCTCTTTACTTTACTGAGAAGCTCTGGAGTGAGAGTAAGATGAGCAAGTCTAGAGTTACTCTAGCCAATTGCTCTTCCAAATATCCCGTCTCCAAGGAATTTCTAAAAATGCTTCCACTGGTGCAAATACAGGCTCTCTTTCCTCTGCTTTTGCTCCTCCTCCTCCTCCACCTTCAGGGTATATTCATCAGGGGAAGAATGAAACATTCCTCCATGCCTGTGGTTCTCCTTTCCAAATTGGGTCAGCATGTTTTCTCATGAGTAAGGCAAGAATGTGTATGAGTAATGGTCAAAAGAAATATTACCTTAACCTGCTCCATCCCCATGTGCAGGATCTGGAGTCTGGATCTGGATTGGGGCCTGTGTGCCAATTCTAGAGGAAAACTTTCTCTACTTTCAGAGCTAAAAGAGACATTAAAGATATAACAAGCAGTTGTGTGTAGTATCTAATGTTAGTCCCACATAAAGTCTGCCTGTTGAAATGGATGGGACTTAAGTGGGTCATTAGTAGCATTAAGTTCATCATAACTAACCTCATACATTTCAGCTGGACTTCTCGATGAAGGACTAACTTTGAATACTACCTTATGTCCTTTTCCTGCCTTTTTACCTGACAGCAGGCACAGGGGACCCAATCCCAATCACAAACCTCCCTAGAGTGGGAGATACAGAGTTTTTAACCCTCCCTGCCTCATTACGGTCTCAGTACAGTTCCTATTTCCAAATTCTATTGCCAGACAGTGATCTATTTTTTACAGAACAAATAAACATTGAGTACAAGCAATCCTCTTAAGTGTCCTTAAAGTCTTTGTGAGAGAAGATTTACAGAAAACAAGATCTAGCTGGCTTCGCCTCCCCTACTCATCCAAATGGCCCATTTTTAAGGCCAAATTTGAGTAAGGCCAAATTTCTGGCCCTTATTCTGGCCTTAGAATCCTTTCCCTGAATAGAAGCAATTAGCATTTCTCTTTTATTAGAGTCTGATGTGTTTTATTTCTGGTTTCTTTCACTAAGCAGAATTTTACCATTGCAATCTTTCCACACCTTTCAATTGTAGTTCCAGTGCTTCCTCTGCCATTCTCTTGCTACCTCTAAATCTCAGAATCCTTTAAGTAAAATGTATGGAAATTATTACTATTACTATTATTACTAAATTTCTTACATTACATTGCATTATTTGCATTACATATTACAAGCACATGCATCCTTAAGAGTTTGTGGCTCCTTCAGGTATTGCACTTGCTTTGCATAAGCAAGGGCCCAGGTTCATGTCTCCAACATCTCCCCTCCTCCTTCTTCGTCGTCTTCTTCATCACATAGCAACTGACAGCAAAGAAAGACCTCTGAAATCACCCAAATCTTGAAGAGGAGTTGCCAGTCAGAACAGACCATAAGAATAAGAATAATAAGAATAAGGCAGCTCCCAGAGATTCAAAAAAAGTAATAATTTGGTAAACAAAATATTTTGATTTAGTATAATCACAGATGGATATAATTGTTGAAAGCCAATGCAGAAAATATCATAGTCTGGTAAAACGTACCTTTTGGCTCTGGATCTAGATGTATATGGTAAATAGGTAAGGTAATTGCAGCATCTGCTTTCATAGCACTGACAGTCATTGTTTTCATCCGTACAGCAGAACCACTTACAGTGTCTGTTATTAGCACACGAGCAGCAGCACCAGCGACAGTTGGGGTTCTCTGCGCATGAGCAGTGGCAGCACTGGCACCTGGAATCTTCATTATGTGGGCAGTAGCAGCAGTCACAGTTCCTCTCATTGCTGCACACGAAATGCCAACATAAGCAACATCTCTTTGAGTGTCTGTTACATAAGAGTCGCCGAAATCTTGCGCAGCAAGCACAACAATTACATCCTGGACAACACGGACATGTCAAGCAACAGAGACAGTTTTGACATGGCATGTCAAGATGCTTGGCTTTCCTCTCCCTATACACACCTCCGGTCTGAGAAAACTGTGCTCACTTTTTTATACCTCTGTACCAAGCATTTGATTGCTTACACTGGTCCCATGCTGTGAAAAGTTCCTTTTGATCACATAGGGAGGACTAATGACATCACAATGGGCTTTACCAATGAGGCTGTAGGGTTTCTTCCACATTTGAAAGTAGCATGTAAATTGCATCATAAAATATGTCACAGTGACTGGAGCACTCTGATTCTTGCATTGATAGGGGAATTTGACCAACCCATAAAGGAAATCTGAAACACAATAAGAATAATTGTATTACTCAGATAGTTGGTATATCCAGTTCATTTCTATGGACTGTTAGCTACTGTCATCACATTATGACAAGCTTGAATCCCACATGTCTTTCTTTGGTCTAAGGCTTCAATGCTATGTACACTCAGTTGGGAATAAATGCCACTAATGCAGTGGAGAAATATTTCCAAGCAAACATTCATGGAATTATACTGTAAATTCCACTTTAACCAGTGTTCCAACTCCGTTCAAAAACTGACAGCAGTTGGTTTATGGTGTTTATTCACAGCATCAGTACAAGCTTCCAAATTCTTTGTTTCTCCACAATTGTTAAACATGTCTTCCAGTTCTATGAGAATTTTAGCACATGCCATTGCTTATTACCAGTTCATTGTTACCAGCAGAGATGGATGAGTTTGCCCCTGCTCACCTCAGATTAGTGTTCTGGAAGACAGTGAGAAACCCTGTGGCAGATGTTCATAATTGTTCTGCCAAGTACATGAGATTCTTTAGCTGAGCCTTGAGATTCTGAAATCGCCAATGCATCTGCAGTGGCTACTCAGGATAATTCCACTTCATCTGACTTTTCTATAAACAAGAAAGATGACCACTGATCCCACATCCAGTTTATATATTTTTAAAGAAGTTTTATATACATTTTAAAAGGATTTTATAACTTTTAAAATGTTAAAGATTAAAATATACTTAGACATGGATTTTAAAATAGGGAAGTTTTTAATATAAAACACTAGCTTCAGTCACAAATAGAAGTATTTTACAGTACCACTCAAAATTGTTAATCTTTAAAATTGTGGGAAGGACATAAAGGTGGAGAGGTTTGTTGCAGCACCCAAAAAGAAAGCAATCAGAGGATAGACTTTCTTGGCCTACAACACATTTGTTCAAACACACAAATAATCTCTTAACTGAAATCACAGATGCAGGGGGTAAGACAACATGGGTTTTTTATCCCAACATCAACTTCTGGGTTCACAAACATTGCATGAGAAGTAGGTGGCGTGCCACCTAAAATTGGGAAGAGGTGAGGGTCAGATGGCTGAGAAGTTAAAAGATGCTGTGGGAAGAACTTCAGACAGAGCTGAGTCAGGAGTCAGAAAGCAAGGCCCATGGGATTGCATATCATACAAATGGGAAGGAACAACCTCACCTGCATGTCACAGCCAGATCTAATGAAGTTGCAGAGGCAAATCCCAGGCACCAGCTTCATGTGGTCCAACTGGCTACAGTGGCAAGTGCTGCAGTGTGCCCTGCAGCCAGGGAAGATCAAAGGAGCACAGAAGAAAGTGAACGAGGAGATGGGCTGACGTATGGACAACTTGGGAGGCTGCATTTTGCAACACCCAGGTATCAGTTTTGACTGGCAGAAGCTGCTTAAAACTCAATGAGGGAGCACCTTTTGGAGAAGGGGGAGAAGATCCAACTTGGCAACTTGTCTCAGGCACTATTGAATGTATAAGCAGTTGAAGCAGATTTTGTGGAAGGCAGGTAGAAATCAGCAACGAATGCCCTTCTCTGGGAACCCTCTGTGAATGATATTAGGAGGGTGGGTACCCGGAGGAGGGCTTTCTCTGCGGTGGCACCCCATCTATGGAATGCACTCCCCAGAGAAGTCCACCTGGTGCCGTTGTTATTTGTTTTTCGGCGCCAGGCTAAGACCTTTTTATTTAAAACTTATTTTAATTGTTAAATTATTGAATTAATTAGGATTTTAACATTTTTAGCCGAGAATGCACCGGGGTTTTTTAAATTTTTTTAATTGTTATATTATTATTATTTATGTATGTTTTTATGTATTCTTTGTGAGCCGCCCTGAGGCTTTGTTGTGATAGGGGCGGCATAGAAATGTTATAAATAAATAAATAAATAAATAAATAAATAAAACAAGAATGAGGGTGATTCCTCGGGGTGGAGCCAGTTTGGGGGCTACATGCCAGCACCACTCCAGGGAAGAAGAAAACCATGTAAAGTGTGCATACCATGGCAGGATCTGCTTGTGCTCTGGCAAAACATTGCTTAGTTAAGGACCACCCACCAAAGAGGGTGTGGTGCAGAAAGGAAAATAGGCAGGCTACCCAGCTAAGGGATCTTCCCATATGTTTTGTTAAACTTGAAGCTGTAACCAATAAAGTTGTGGCCAAGTTAGAAGTAAATACTGTCTCTGCAAACTAGTATGGTTGACATTCCTAGAATGGCTACCCAGCTGGGTGTTCCAGGTACAAATATATTCTTTGATATCATGTGGTCATGCTATTTGTTTTAAATTGATACTTGGAGCACTGGCAAAGTACGGAGCACTCTCCACCAACAGTACGTTAATTGATAGCCTTTGATTTTGATAATTTCAAAGCTTATGAAATATGCTTCTTTTCTGCTCCCAACACTTTAGACATTAGGATCAGTGCATAGTGAATATAATGGAAAATCAACCTTTCAGAAATTAAGAAAAGTTACATGATTTTCAGCAGGAGGGCATGTTCATTTCAATCGTCACTATACATGGCTGTGGATGCTAGAATACAATAGAGAAGAATATTACATATATGGGAAATGTCAACATACATGCAGAAGTCAGTACATTAATGATGTTGCACCCATAGATATGAACCACTGGATTTTTTCCTGTTCTTTCATGCTTCTATGCAATCTCACTTGTGTGCTACTTCTCCAGTCTCTGTTAACCTCTTCCCCATGGCCTGCTATGATGGGTTTGGATGAAAACTGAGTTGGACTACCATTGATTAACATTTCTGTTCCCCTTTAACTGATATTGAAGGATGAAATCATTCTGGCTGGCAGAAATAATGTGTTAGCAGCAGCTGCAGGCAAAATGGCAGCTTGGGTGAGGAGGTTTCCAGGATAGCAGAATAATTCTGTGGACTTAACATGCAGCTGTCATTAATGGCACAGGTGCACCCACAGTCAAGTTCTTTCACCTGCTACCTGGTACATCAGGGTGCAGTTTACATTTTGTGGCTAGGCTTGGGTCCCTGCTTGTTGACCAGCTTACTGTTTACTATTTATTTTTTATTTAAATAAGAGGTCCAGAATGTACAAGTCCATGTAGCCTCTGTGAATCCCATGGCAATTAGAATCACACCCTAGAAAGGTCTCATTCTGATGTAAAATTCAGCCTGAAGAGTTAAGGAGCCAGTGCAAAGTGAAAAATCCACTGTCTTTACCTGAATCAGTAAGGATTCTTAGTCATGCCATATATTCCGGTGTATTGCTCCCTTCTTCCAACATGGATCTGATTTACCACTCTGGGGCATTTATTTTTTTTTTTGCCAAAGATACATTCAAGGCAGAACGCCGAGTTGAAATATATGCACAACAAAACAAAAATAATTTTCTCAAGACAAGAACTGGAAACCATATCCCTCCATGTTGATGAAGCCAAAAACATATACATTTGAGTGAAATATGCCATTCAGTTCTATTAGATGACTCGTCCATAGTTTTTTCCCATTTTCATTATGTTGCTCTTCCCATGACTTTCTTCCTCTACAGATTTTCTTTCTTTCTTTTTAATGTCTCCAGGGTTAGAAATTATAAGCAGACAGACAGACAGACAAGTTGCATGTGACTTGATACATAAGTAACCTGAATTAGACAATAGCTAGACTTCAGTAAAAGTAGGTTTATCTTTTTCTTTCTAGTGATACTGGGCCTTTACCAGTTGTAAGGAAAGCAAAAGTCTGACAGGTACTTATATATTCCCAATAGCAGAAATGCAATGATAAGGAAATACTCACCATTATATTTCTGCATGCTGTGTTACTGAAAATGGCTCATAGGCCCATCTACAAAAATGATGCAAACCTAATGACTTGTGTATATATCCTGCTATTCTTGTATCCATAGCCAAAAATAGAATGAAGTGAGAATTCATTATCAACCCTACTCTGTGGAAATGATAGTGGCAAAGAAACAATTTTCTGTATCACTATTATATTCCCACAGTGTCATCCAGCAGAGATTTTTCTGAGCAACTCAGGCTCTTCTATGATCTGACTCAGTAGGAAATACAGTTGTGAAATGCTTGCAATACATTTGGCATTTAAAAAAAAATCTTCCATTCTCCAGCTATCCCAATTAGTGTAGATCAGTTAGTGGTGGTGTCCAGTACATTGCTGGATCCTATTTTGTTGAATTTCTTTCAGCTTCCAGGGCCTGAGGTTATAGGGCACAATGCCTGACCAAGTCCAGCCAAGTCCAGACCTAAAACTTAACTTTTGTCCTTCATGTGATAAATTCTTTGTTAAACCCCTTTCTGGGTTGTTCTCATCAACATTTCCTAAAAGCAAAATCATAACTTTTATTTATATAAAACTATCAATGTACTTCAGACATAGAAACCATTTTTATACGTCAGTAGCCTTCCATCAGGTGATACAGACTTCTCTCTTCCTTTCTCTGTCACCCCCTCTGCTCTCTTTCAATCTCTCTTTCAGCCACTGCCTGTTATCCCTTCCTGCCATCACTTCTCTCTCTTAGTCTGACATGATGAGAAGCTTGTCCATAAGAATGTATAGTTTTGCTCTGACGTAGATCAGCTAGTTATTCATCTTCAGACCAGAAATGCAAGGTTGATCAAGAGCAAAGAAATCCTACTAGAGACAGAGAGAAAGAGAGAGAGACAATAGGAGAGGGGGGCAGGGGGAGGGAGAGAGCACTGCTGAA